TGTCAGCCTCCAGTGTCTTCCAGACCACTGACACCAAAAGCAAACGGAAGTGAGGTACCCTCTGGAAAAAAAACCTGAAGTCCCAGGCCAGCAGCTGGGAGAGGAAACCCACCATGGAGACATGGAGGGGGGTTTGTTTTCTCAGCAGACCTGGGCGTTTTCTTTAACCATTCAGCTCACTTACCTGAGTCAAAACTAACGATTTAATAATCAAGAACATAAACTGACCCCGTCCCTCTGGCTCAGAAATGTAATGTTAGTCTGGCCCAGGTCTGTTTTGCAGCAGCTTCCTCTCCACACTACAGACGAGGTAGACGTTATCCTTTAATCACTAACACAAAACAGAACCAGAATCAGTTTGTGGTTAAGGGTCATTTGTACCTTGAGTACCTTCTTAAGGCTCTCTGTCAAAGTAGTATCTGTAAAATAATTCGTAGCTCTGTTTACCTGCCTGTTTTTCTGTTTGAGGACAATTCTGATTTCCTGTGGTTTTCCTAACGTTCTGACAAGGTGTTCCTGCCTCAAACTGACCTGTAAGTGGGCCAAAACAAACCATCAATATTACAAATACTGTTTGACCATGAACCTTGTTTTTAACACTGGTTTATTTTATTATTATTTATTTTTCTAAAGTATTTTCTACATCAGCTGGATCTGAGTTTTCAGCAGGTCTTAGATGTCATCATGTCTATGTAAAGCACGACTGTATTGCTCAATTTAAAAGATGGCAAACTGAACAGTATTACTGAGAAAAAAATGTGTTTGGATCGCATGTATGAGTAACACCTCTTTGCTCGTCAGTTTAGTATGGCTAATGAAATGTCACTAAATCAATTAATCACTGAGTTGCAGACTGTATAAAGCTACCTTTTGCTTAGCTAACGTTGTAATAACAGGAAGTGGATACTGGATACACATTGGTACCATTGAGAGTTCGCCAACAGTTAAAGTAAAAGCACAGAGAAACTAAAAGTTGTGTAATGTAGCGCTCCATGGAAGTGATGTTTGATTGTTTTAAGTGGTTCATTTTTAAATCACAATGATGCACAATTTTTTTTCTGTACTTAAAAGTATTTGTAACCCTTTCAGTTTATCATGTCATACATTAGTGATGGCCCAGTTTGTAATGTGAGCGTGACAAAGAAAATGACCCCGTATTATTACATTTTGTGCCCTTATCCTGGAACGCCCATGGGGGGAGGGGACTGAAAGGGCCAAATAACGAGGATGTAGTGAAACAGGGAGATGAGCAGGGAAGAAAGAGATGCTTTCCCCTTTAACTGCATGGCCAGAAGCAGTAAAGAGGCCTTGAGTGCTATTGATCCATTCAGCCAGGCCTGGAATACATCACCTGCTGGAGGATGGGTTTGACCGTAAAATGTGCTGATGTCCTCAGTGTACAGCAGAGTGGAGGGTGTGTCCTCCAAGGCCGCTGCTGCCTCACATACAAAGACAAAAGGATTGATGGTGGAAGGAGACAAAACATATTGTAATCTCAAATTTGTATTCCCTTTAAACAGAAATAGCCAGTTTAATGTCTGGAAAACAGTCATTGGTGTGTAAAGATCACGTGACTGTGGTGCTGTTTGAAAATGGAAGAATTGGTTATATTAGGGGTGGCTATAAACTCTGTATATGCTGTAATTTATTGAGGTTATTTTGATATTTTTAACAGTTGTAAGTCATTCATTTTTCTGGCATGCTGAATATGCCCTACCTACACACACTGTGGTACCAACTGTCTGTGTGTAGACACCCTGCACCTTTGCCTTTAAACATTTTTGTTTTAATAAAAACCTAAGATCACTCCTTTCTCTGGGTCTTGTTTCCCCTACACAACCCTACATTATCTGTCAGAGATGACAGAGCATGAGCGAATGAATCAAAGTGAAGGAAAGAATGTGCCTCTTTTGTATTAAATAATTTTATTTTCAAGAGCAATGTACAATTTGCAAACAAATGTAAACAGGAATATCTGCCAGCATTTGGCAAGAACATGAACTACAAAAGCTTGAGACAATAATATAAAACAAATAAATTAGCATCAATGTCTTCCCCAGGCAACAATCTAGGCTCTGAACTCCAGCTAGACATTCTGGGAAAGCACTGCTGTGTACTGACTGAATGAGCCAAGGCATTCAAAATTACCTACTTTTGCTGCAAGCGCTGACCATGTCAGTGTTTTGACCATTAACTGATCATATTTAACTTTACCTAGACTGAGAAGAAGCACATCAGTGGCATATATATATATATATAAGAAAATTGCCTCAAGTCACTCAAAACACTGCATCATTAAATCTTTATTCATACTGGCATAAAACCAATTTAAAACAAACCAATAAATAGGGTTATCAGTGCTATAACTTAGTAAAAAACACACATAAAAGTAACTGATGCTCCTTACAAACTACCTATAATCTAAACAGAACATCCATTTTTTTTTTTTTAAAAGAGGTAAACTTTTAAACCTAAACTGAGGCGACTTATCAGCTGAAATGCCCCGACACTGCAGGGACATTTTAAACAGCCTGGCGTCCTCTCCTCCTGGCCTGTTCTTGAAACCCCAACAATTTCCAACAAGGAAGGAACTTTGTCAAACTGCGTCCTTGAACATGTTCTTTAAAACAAAGGACACGAGAATAAAGTCTATGTTTCTGAGATGTAGCCCCTATGATATGCTGTAAAATGGTGTGAACAACTGGAGTCGACAGCAGCGCAGACGCTCTCTGCTGCCTTCACTCTCACAGGAGACAGACGGGTAGATCTATGACGCCATATAATCAGAGAGAAAACTGACAGCAGAGACGGGGTGAACAGGAACACAGGTGGGAGAGGTGGAATTTCAGGCCTGACAGGCAGGTAGACAGCAATGGCTTAGAGAAGAGAAGACGGGTGAAGAAAAAAGCGTGGAAGCTCAGGATGGAGGAGGAAAAACAGCTAAATGCACAAAGTCTCCAGGGGGTTCATCGATAGTTCAATGAGCAGACGGGAGGGAGAGACGAGACGTGGGGTGACAGCGGGGGGTGACAGCGGGGTGTGGTTTGGGAGACTGCAAACCTGTGATGGGTGTAGCCGAGGCATGGAGGAGACGTGGATGGGGCAGCCGGGGTGACTGCAGGCTACCAGGTGGTTTGGAGGGAAATACATGCTGCACCGCTCGGAGAACGGGGAGCAGCGGCGGAGACGGCCCTTCCACCTCCTCCGCACCGGGGGAGAAAGGAGACAGTAGGCGTGGGGTTCACCTCCTTAGTCTTTCCGTACCCTCCTCTTTCTCACAGCTTGTTTTTGGCTCTCTTCGGCGCCGTCTCTACCCTCCTTCGGCTGCGGGCCAGAACGTGAATGAAATTAAGAGCAGAAAGAAAAAGAAGCCAAATTGAATGGATGAGACATTAAAACATCACTCTTAAAGACCGTTTAAATGCCAAGCAGAGGATCAGTCTCTCAAGTGAAATCACTGAAAATGAAAACAAGAGCAGCCAGACTGCCTGACCATGCACATTTGTCACTAGGACAAGGACACAGTGTCAGAGACGTGAAATAGTCTAAACAAAGGAGAGGGGAGGGAATGATGTGTTCAGTGTGTTGTCTGCAGGACCAGGCCAACCACGAGAATACGAATGAAGGAATAAATGAATGTGTGGCATTCATGGGTTTGTGTGGTGCTTTGTACCCTGTAACAGTGCACTGCTACATTTGAACCACCTTCTAAACACAATATATTCAGGGCTTTGAGTATAGGTAATATGATTTATAACTAATTTGATACCTAGTCAAGCAATATTGAAACAAATACTAATGTGTTATCATGAAGAGGGAAGCCATGCATCATTGTTCCAGAGGTGAGTATCATTAATAGGTCATTACTATTTGATGATGATAAATTGATTTTCCAAACAAAGCATTTCTTTTTACCGTTTTCTGTCAATTACTTTATCACGTGTGTCAATGACTCTTTAAATGACACTTAACAAATGTGTGTGTCGTGTAAATTCTTTGGACTAACGAGGTGATTTTTTTTTTTTTTTTTTT